AATCCATGCTATAAAAGTACCGTGTTATACGGGGGATGGTACCAATTCTCGAACCGTGTTAGAGTGAATCCGTGCTATAGAAGTGCCGTGTTATACGGGGGTTACCTGTACAACTCAACATGTGAATAAAGTGCAAATTATATAAATTGCAACTATGGGAAATTTTGAATGAAGCAATGTTGCCGTGATTATAAATAGGAAAAATAAACTTCAGCACAAAAAAAAAAAACACTTCAAGCTTTGTGCCTTAAACTCGTTGCACATACACTAAATTAATGTTAAGTTGTACCAGTGAAGGAAGTTTGGGACAATAGGTTTAAGAATTAATAAGGGGAGATGAAATCGGGGAAGGAGCAGGATATCCTGGTTTCCTGGTAGTTAAGCATGTCTTCATAAATATTGTGTTTATAGAAAAATTATTAGAATTAGTTTATTTGGAAACAGCAATGCAACATGTGAGCAATCTGCCAAGGAGAATGAATCCCGGGAAGACTTGTGTAAAGCTATCCCCAATTTAAGTGTTACTAATGTGAAGAAAACCCATTAAACTACACATGGCCAGTCTGTTGGCCATGCACAAACCCACAACCAACTACTGGTGTTCGGTGGTTTTATTTACTTTGTTACTAGAGGACACTTATTGGACTACATTTTGAAAAACTTGTAGACTTATACTCTCTTCCCTGAACCTGTTACTGGCACGTAATGCGTATAAGAAATATGCAGTGGGTGATAAACATTTTTGAATTATCTTGCGGTTCTCTTCTGGTCAACTAGCTTAGGAATGCTTCAGAATGGAGCATGTGGAATTCAACGGGATTGAATGTCATTTCAATGAACTTAGTTTCGCTTGATGTGCGCGGTTGTGAGCTGGTGGAGGTAGCCACGGGTTGGCATCTAAAATGGACTGCCAGGCCAGTGACAGATTTAGCTCCTCCTTTCAGTTGATGCACATGGCTATTTGGCCGGCTTTGTAAATGGCTATGGATTTTAGCCATTTAAGGTGGTCATGGTGGGGTGTGCTGACGATGACTGTAGCTCTATCAAACTACAGAATTGGCTGGCGAACTGTGAGGTTCCTTGTCGGCATTACCACCCGTGGTAGAGATGTGTTCCAAGCACTGGTATTGCTCGAGTAAGCGGCACGTCAGGGTCGGGTACCCATGTTCAGTTGCTATCCTCTTAATTCGGGTTAACTCAGCTGTTAGGGCTTGCTTGGTTGATGAATGCGAAAATGCTCTTCTGACTAGAGCATTAAAAGCTGCCCCCTTGTACAAGAATGGGTCACATGAACTGGC